AGGACATGAATATTGATAGACGTGATCCATTGGGGGCCACCAGTGTAAGAGGCTGCCACATCTCCATAAGTAAATTCTAGTAGAGAGCAACAGGTAGTGAGTTTGGTTGTATGGAGGAGTGAGAAGGGGTATAATTTGAACCAAATACTATGTTGTATAAATAATTTCACAAAATTATAATTACCAACCTTGATTTTATTTGGAGGATGCTGTTAGGAAATGGAGAGGGAAAGAAGTATACTGAAATTGAGACAAGTGACTTCATATCCTAGTAGTCTCTCTTGAAAGATAATAAATCACCATAAAAGAATATGTTCATTTCCTTTTGATAGAAATGTTCTTAATATGTGTCAAAATGGATAGGATGCACCTTATAAGTGATTTTGACATGGTTTCTATTTAGAGTCTAATTCTTCTTCTTTTTCTCTCTTCTCCCTTGCACACCCATTTCTACTCCTAACACACACACACACACACACACAAACTCACGTACACACACCTCTTTTTCCATGTTATCATAGTGTCCATGACATGAAATGTTAATTCGGAAATGGAAATAATTTATTTTAAATTTTTGATATTTTACATGTTGTGTAAGTTTTCCAGATTCTTAACTAATTAGGAATTTTGGTACATTAAATGTCCTATCAGGTAAAATAGCTGAGTCACTGGAAATTCTAACATTCTTAATTTGAAGTGAAGAGGAGAATTAACAATTTTCTAGGGATTTAGGAAGTATAGAGAGAGACAAATGTGGCCAGTATTGACTCTGTATCTTAGTCATTGTCTAGCTGTCTCCATATCTCCCAAATTATAGCATCACATTTTAAACTTTCTACACTCAAAATGTTTTTCTCTTTTTATATAAATAGTTTTTTAGTTAACATTGCTCTTCTTTCTCTAGTCACCATAACTATTTTTTCCTCTTTTAAATATTACTTTGCCCTGACAAACCAATTCAGACTCTACAAGGTATTTGGGGAGTAGTTTGTTGACAAATGTATTTTAGAGTGTCCATATAATATTCTGAGTAAGTACCAGGTCTTTGGAATCCTCCGTCTCTGGATTTTGGTCCTAGCCTGGTAACTTATTAGTTTTTTAAGCCTTGGAAGTTTCCTTCACCTTGCTAAGTCTGTGCACATTCATCTGTAAAAGAGGTTGGGAAAGTATCCTCATGGTGGTTGTGTATATTAACTAAAATAACTCTTGCAAAAATTATTTGCGTTGTGCTTGACAGAGTAAGCAGTATTGTTATAAATTTTATTATATCTTTTAACCCCTTAAATGAAATGAAGTATTAAACAGGAAACTTCTATCACATTTGAATAAAATGATTTCTTTCAGGTTATCACAAGGTCCCATTTGATCTTATTTGGCATCTTTGTGGAGCTAGTACTTAGCTAGCAACTCCAGTGAAATCATACCCGAACATGGGACAGGAAGAGACAGCAGTGCTTCCATGATAATTTGAATACAAACTACTAGATTGACAATATATGCAAGAGAGAGAGGAAAAGGATCAAGCCTTGGGTCAACTAAACTTTGGAAATATTTTAGCCTCAGAAGAACTTTTTCGCCCCTTATAAGTCCCATATTGAGTTCCCTAGAATTTAGAATTTTATTCTAGGTAAGAACTGTGACACTGTTTCAGTTTATGAAAGTGCATTTCTTCATAGACTTGATTTTGCCTTGGAACAAACTTCAGAAAAGAATGACTGCCAAGATGTATTATAACCTGTTTTCTTAAATGCTTTTCTCATTATCTTCTTTAACATTTCTCTCTAAAAGCGTCTGAGGGACGACTGTAATTAGGTACTTGTGTGCACCCATATGTGCAGCTATGGCACTGACAGAGCAGTCCTAGTGAGAACGCGGTGCATGTGTGCCGATGCGCCTTTCCGGGCTGGCCGTGCAGTCCATCTTGGGCTAACAGCTGTGGTGAGCAGAACAGCCTGTAATTCCTTTGGTGTAAAAATGAGTTAACAGTTATTTATAGAGAATAATTAATATAAGTTTTTGTAAAAGTAAACACAATTTTCAAACCTTGACAAACCATTAAAAAGGCAAAAAAGGATGGAAGATGGATACTTTCGCCTGCAGAAAAGGCTTGAAGAGAAATAGATGATATCTGTGATTGTGTGAGACACTGTCTTCCAGACTCTGAGAATAGTAGTTAGAGAGTTAAAAGTTTTAAAAGGAAGCAAACTCATCCTCAAAGTAATTGTAAACATGTAGAGACTATATTACATAGTTTGGTTAATAAGTGAAAATCGTAAAATTTTGTTTAGGTTCTGTTTTTCCAGTTCTTTATTTTAAAAATAGAAGTGGAAGGGAGTAGAGAGGGTCATAAAGAAAGAAAGAATAAAAGAAGGAAGGGACTGTGTGCATATTTATTCCAAAAAAAGACGATGCTGTTTTTTTCTGCTTTATCAGTAACATCATTCATTCAGAATTAATCTCATCAGGTCAAATGGCTGGTTGGAAATATTAGAGATTATTTTGGAATTATGTGATGCACAAGGAGTGAACTTGACCAAATGGTCTCTATTTGACCGTTATCATGTGCTTCCTGGCTAAATGCTTTTGTGAAGCTGGTTTTGAGCAAAACCAATAATATCCTGTGTTTGATCATCAGGCTTGCACCTGGCCTGCTCTTGACTTGTTCAAAAAGTAATCCATTTCCAAATGATGATTATTTCCAAGTATTAATAGAGTAGTGGTAATCATGCTAAGAAAGTCTTATTCCAGATACAAGTAGAAATTAGTACCGCTTCTCCAGGCGTGCCTGAAATTCCCCTTCTGTGTGGCTCTGCAACTCTGATCTGAGCACTTGAGATCCCATGTCCACCTGAAGCTTTTACCTGAGACGTGGTCGTTCCCTCCTGCTCACATTGTGATTTTTATTTTCAGTTTAACTTTGATAACATGGAAATCCATCTTATTTTCACAGAATAACTGAGTTCTGTAAGTAGACATACTATTATTTGAACTCATTTAAACACAGATTGGGTCACAGCTGCTCAATGAGATATCCGTGAAACTGTGTCATTCAAGAAAAGCACAGAGTTATCAGCCGTGACCTGGCTTTCTTTGCTGTGCTGGATGACTACGAACAGAAGATGCATCATCGAGCCAAACTTTTGATTTTCTTTGGCAGTGTAAGTTTAAACAAAGGTAGCAGGCATCTCTGATATTGGCAGATTGAAGAATAGCCTTTGTGCAATTAAAGTTACAGGGGAATTGTTTGTACATCAATTGTTTTATTTTAGACACATATAGGTATACTGAGCTTTGGTGAAAATTTCTGTGCAAAAACTTGAAAGCATGCCTAACACATGGTATAATAAATGCTCACAAACCAAAAACCATCTACTGTGTGCCAAGTCTCTGTGAGCGAAGCAAAGACTTATGAAATACGGTTCCTGTTCAGTAGTATTGATGAGAAAGAAATTCTATATACTGAAGAAAGGACGGTTATTAGAGTTAGTTAATAAAAACAAAATATGCTGCATCTGCGAATGAGAAACAAGATGAGGAGAGGGAGACTGCAGTGTGTCCACGTTTCATGCACTCAGCAGACAAATAAGGGGTCCGAGACTGAACTGCATTGGCCACATTCCCAGTTGCCTACATTATGGGCCCCCCCTCATGTTAATGATAATAGAAAATCTATATTTTACAAATGATAATCTATATTTATGGGTGAAGCAAAAGTCTCTCCTTCTTTACCTTGGAGAGATTTCTGGAGAGGGATTTGGAAAAGATTTTAATAGTGGGCATTTTAATAAGGGTATCTAAAGGGGATGGAATTGGATTGTAAGAAAGAATTATGTTAAATCTATGAGCTTGGGAATTTCATGGGTACTACAGACTCCTTCTGTAGATGACTGTAGTTTGTGTGACAATCAGATGTTCTTTTGAATCCACATTTTCTTTGTGGTGGTCATCACTGCATGGGGACATACTACGAACAGGTTGTAGTAGAAATCATTATCCTTTGGTGGTGACTTTTCAAAAGCAATTGAGTCCTACAAGTTGTTGATTTTCCTGCCCTCTGTTGCTCCCAGTGCCACCCCACGTGATCTGGGTAAACAGGAAGAGTTTACCATCTAAGAGGGCAAGTTGGGGAAGGCAGAGGACTTAGGCAAAAATAGATAGCAGAAAAAGCAGTGGTAAGTTTTACATGTGTGGTTTAGTTTAGAGGAGGTGGTGAGTGTTTTAATTCCGAAGAGAGAAACATTGGTTTCAACTAGTTATTAGTGAAAGCCTAGCTCACTGGAAAATTTAAAGTCGTATTAATTTGAGGAACTAGTAGGTTATTTTACTGAAAGTTCTAGCTGTACATTTTTGGCTGATGACTTGGTAAATGGATTTTGGTGACTTGAGTTTAGAAGTCGCATAATAAAAACTGTTTTGACAGGTTGGCCAGGGAGTGCTATGTAGAAATTTCCCGGAAAAAAGAGAGAGCAGAGGCAGGGAGACCATTTACGAGACTCTGAAAAGGATCCCTCTTGCTGCCTGTTGTCTGATCAAGGCATGTGCTGGTGAAGACCTGTCCTAGGCTGAGAGCAAAGGGGGTGGCAAGGAGGGACTTTCAGTGGAGAATTGCTAGAACCTGGTAACTTGGGATGTATGGAGATACGTTATAACAATTGTTAACATTTATCTAGTTTTTACCTGGCAATATGTGAATTTATTTTACTTTTATTGTCTCATTTAACTTTTTAAACTATTTTATTAAGTATAGGTACTCTTATCACTACAAGTTAATTAATTTGCTTGAGATCACACCATTAATAATTGTCAGAACCAGGACCTAAACCTTAGGTCTGTCTGAACCCAAGCCCTGCTGGGTTCTGGGATACTGACATATCAGAGGCTAAAATAAAGAGTGATGCTAACATTTTTAGTTAGTAGACAGATGTCCTTTAGAAGTCTGGCTTAATGTTGATCATTGGCATATGAATAACACAAGCTTTTCTTCTTTTTCCTTTTTTTAGTGCGGCTTCATGACAGCATATCAGAAGAGGGCTTCCATTACTTGGTGTTTGATTTGTAAGTACAATACACTTTGTGGTCATTTATTTTTGCTTTCTATTTGAAATCCATTTTGAATTAAACATGATTGTTCACCAATTTACGGTCCAAATTAATGACCCTATAATATTTTTTAAATGTTCTTCCAATATCATTCAACTCTAATTCTTTTGAAAAGAGGCAACTGCTCAGCAGTGTTTATTTAAAATTAAGTTAATCTATAAGTGAAACAGTTAGGAATCTGTTTCCTTTTGGATTGTTCATTATGATATTCATAAGTACTTTCACTTTTACCTTGGGGTACAAAAGTGGCTGACATAAGCATAATTTTCCATTGAATTTTTTTAAGATTATGCATAATTTGTTATCTTACGTAAAAAGAAGACTCAAGGAAGGATCTTTGAGGCTGGTTAATTCAGGGATTCGACAATATCATCAAACTCCTGTCTTTAGCCCCAGCTTATATTGGCTTTGTTCTCAGACTGGTATGATTCAAGTTATTACCTGCAGACATGGCAATGCCCAGTGGAAGACATTGTCTCTTGTTCCTTTTTAGAATGAAAAATTTACCCTGTAAACCTCCCATTTCATCTCATTGGCCAGGACTGGGTCACATGCCCACCCCTACCCAACCACTGGCAAGGGGATTGAGGTTGTCAAGACCGACTTAGACCAATCAGGATTCATAAACTGAGGTTCTATCAACAAGAACAAAGGGAAATAATGATTCTTCAGGAGCAATCCACAGCATCTGCTCTGGCTGAGTGAGATATAATGAGACAGGCCACATACGTGGCTGGTAGGGATTTTATTAATAACACTTTCTGGAAATCAATTTGATACTATGTACCAGAAATGTCCATATCATTTGACATAGTAATTTCCCTTTTAGGAACAAAGTCCATGGAATGTATACTCTAAATTTAGATAAAGCTTTATGCCGAAAGATGTTCATTGCATTGTCTTTATAATGGGAAATAAAGAAAAGAAAGAAAACTAACTTAAGGATCCAGTAATAGAGAAACAGTTGTTTAATTACAGTAAATTCATATAATGGACTACTTACTCTCTAGCATTTTAATGTGATGTTTGGAGAATAGATAAGAAAAAAATACTGTTTCATGTAATATGAGTCTATAGGTAGGTTAGTGCTAGATTTGGTTAATTCGGCCCTTTAATGATGTCATTAAGAAACCAAGTTCATTCCATCTTTCTGTCTGTTCTCTGGAGTATGTAGGCTTGCCCTCTTGCTTAGGTTCCCTTATGGTCTCAAGTTGGCTGCCTCATTTTCAGGTATCACATTGACTTCCAAAGTCAGAAAAAAAGGGAATATTAATTCTATTGCATATATTTTTACCTATAGGGAAAAACTTTCTCAGCAGTTCCTCAGAAAATATGTTAATGAATTCTTATTTAGAATTGCTTTTCAGGCCCATATCTGAACCAAGTATTGGTAAAGGGAATGGAATTACAGCAATTGGCTTTGAGCAATCATAAATTCAATCCATATGTCTCAGAGGGAACTGGCCTTCCCTGAATCATGTGAATGCTCAATTAAAAACTAAATCATGGAGCCGGCCCCGTGGCTTAGCGGTTAAGTGTGCGCGCTCCACTGCTGGCGGCCCGGGTTCAGATCCCGGGCGCGCACTGACACACTGCTTCTCCGGCCATGCTGGGGCCATGTCCCACCTACAGCAACTGGAAGGATGTGCAACTATGACATACAACTATCTGCTGGGGCTTTGGGGAAAAAAAAGAGGAAGAGGATTGGCAATAGATGTTAGCTCAGAGCCGGTCTTCCTCAGCAAAAAGAGGAGGGTTAGCACGGATGTTAGCTCAGGGCTGATCTTCTTCACAAAAAAAAAACCTAAATCATGGCTTTGATATCTAAATAAAAAGGGAATCTTTCCTGTTGGGTGGGCAGCCAAACATGTCTTCCATATTGGTGATCCATATGTGTGCTGGAGAAGAGAGATGATGCACAGTCCTACTGCACAGGCTCTCTGCATAGGCACAGTCCACCCATGGCTTGTTCATGTGGCTGTAGTTTGGCACTACTCCACGTTGCACTAGTCATTCTTCTTCAGTCTTTTTCAGAACTCACATGTTTACTTTTTCCATTGTTCTTTCTTCCTTCTTGATGTTCCAAGATTCCTTCTCTTATGATTTCCTTTCTTCTTTAAGAACTTCCTTTAGCTACTCTTTTAGAGTAGATATGCTAGCAACAAATTCTTAGTTTTCCTTTTTCTGAGAATGTCTTGATTTTCCCTTCATTCCTGAAGGATATTTTTGCTATATATAGAATTATAGGTTGACAATTATTTTAATGTTGTGCCAATTCCTTCTGAATTCTTTGGTTTTTGGTGAGAAATCTTATGTCATTCTAATTGCTTTGCCCTAAGGGTGAGGTATTATTTCTCTCTGGCTGCTTTAAAAATTTTTCCTTTGTCTATTGTTCTTAGAAGTTTGACTGTGGTATGTCTTGGCTTGAATTTCTTAGAGTTTATCATATTTGGTATTCATTTAACCTCTTGAATATGTAGTTTATATCTTCTGCCAAACTTGGGAAGTTTTTAGATGTTGTTAAATGCTTTTTCAGCCTCACTTTGTTTCTCCTCTCCTTCTGCAACTCTGATGACATGAATGTTAGATCTTTTATTATAGTCCCACAAGTCCCTGAGGCTCTGTTCATTTTTTTTCATTTTATTTTATTTCCGTTGTTCAGATTGGGTAATTTATATTTTTCTCTCTTCAATTTCACTTATCTTTTCCTTGTTTTTTTCCCATTCTGCTGTTGAGCTCATCCATTGAGTTTTTTATTTTAGTTATTGTATTTTTTTCAGTTCTACTGTTGACTTTTGGTTCTTCTATATATCCTCTATTTCTTTGTTGAGACTTTCTATTTTTTTTCATTTATGTCAAGTGTATTCATAATTGCTTTCTGAAGCATTTTTATTATGGCTGATTAAAAATCCTTGTCAAATAATTCCATCAGCATTGTCGTCTTGTTGTTGGTGTCTGTTCACTGTGTCTTCTCATTCATATTGAGATTTTCCTGGTTCTTGATTGTTGAGTGATTTTGTATTATATTCTGGATGTTTTGGGTATTATTTTACGAGACTCTGGATTTAATTTAAATCTTCTTTTTAGCAGACCTCCTCTGATACCACACTGGCAGGGCTAAGGAGGTGCCATCTTATTACTGACAGGTGGGGCTGGGAGCCCAGGTTTCCTGCTCAGCCTCCATTGACACCCCAAGGGTATGTCTCCGTACTGCTGGGCAGGTCTGGGAGCGCTGGGATTTTTTTTTTTTTTTTTTTTTACGGTATTTAGTGACAGAAATGCATCTACTCTAATTTTTAGACCTGTTGATATTTCTTGATAGATTTGTTTTGTCAGATCTCCTTTGTATGTAAATCAAGGGTATGGTATTATAAACTGGGATATGTCCTTCATGCTGTGATGAATGCTGGAATGAAAAACACATCTGCTAATGCTCATTGCCTAAGTACGATCATTCAGAGTTGGGTTTGATCGCAGCTCTATCAGAGAACAAAAACTTTTCCTCTACCCTTTAAGTTCAGTGCATGAAGACATGTGAATTAAACTAACAAAAGACTGATTAACAGGAGAAAAGGCACACAATTTTTTCTTTTTTTATGTGTGAGGAAGATTAGCCTTGAGCTAGCATCTGTTGCCAGTCTTCCTCTTTTTGCCAAGTAAGATTGACCCTGGGCTAACATCCGTGCTCATCTTCCTCTACTTTATATGGGACACCACCACAGCATGGCTTGATAAACGGTATGTCAGTCCGCACTTGTGATCTGAACCCTCGCACCCTGGGCCACCGAAGCGGAGCACGTGAACATAACCACTACGCCACCGGGCCAGCCCCAGCACACAATTTTTATTAATATTTGTGTGCACACAAGTTCATAGAAAAGAAGTGAAACTAAAAGAAGCAGTTAGCCTCAGGGTGTCAACTCCTTTTCTTAGATGATAAGAATCACTCTTCTCTCCCTGGTACATGGAGCAGACACCTTCCTCAAAGGGAAATTTATATCCTGCTTTTGGGCAGATAAGGGGAGGGTAGAGAACTCTCTCTGTATTTGTTGATTCTCAGTTGCCTTTAGCTCAAAATAATCCTTATACCCAAATGGCATATTTTGGGGTGACTTGTTCTGATCCCCTTCAGCTACAAGAAACACTTCAGTGTCCTGCCAAATGTAAAAGGAGGCACCCTTCTTCCCCTGCCATGCCATTTTTCCACAGTCATCAAGTTATTTATAGCCACATTTTAAATTTTATAGGTTTCTATATTCCTTACTAAATGGAGGGAGTGATAAGAATCACATGGTTTAAAATAAAGTTTATTTTTTCATGCACCAGTTTTTATATTTAGCACTTAATAATTGGTGCAGAACATATAAAGAAAGCAGTTCATATGAAAACAAAAGAAGATTTTCAATTACAGTGGATCGTATCTGTAGCAATGATATTTGTTTGTGTTATTAATGTCTCTGAAACCAAGTGTAGAGACTTCTGAAGGTGCAGGTGTGCATTTGAACCATAGTAACATGAAATATGCTGCGTCAGGCAGTTGAACCTCTGCTTCTAGATTGGAGAGCTCAGACTCTTTGCAATTATTCTCAATGTTTAAAGTTTAAGAGGAGGGTTATCAGCAGTTCTCATCAAAATGGTTTGCCAGGGGCCGGCCCTGTGGCTTGGTGGTTAAGTGCGCGCGCTGCGATGCTGGTGGCCCGGGTTCGGATCCCGGGTGCGCATCGAGGCACCACTTCTCTGTTCATCCTGAGGCCGAGTCCCACATACAGCAACTAGAAGGATGTGCAGCTACGACACACAACTATCCACTGGGGCTTTGGGGGGAAAAAATAAAATAAACAAAATCTTTAAAAAAAAAAAAAAAATGGTTTGCCAGTAAATAGATTAATAAACTAGTTAAACACAATCCATTAAAGCACCCAGCTTGAGACAATTGGAAAACAATGATTAAAAGC